AGACAATTTTATTTGTATTTTTTAATTTATCTGAATAAGCACTCGTTAATAATAAGCACTTTACGCATTCTTTGAATTAAATCGCTAATCGTGATCGATAATTTTGCGTAACAGAATGATTGTCTAGCCAGATTATCGTAACGAATGAAGACGTTCAAAGCAAAAGTAGATTAAGTCTAAAAGTAGCGAGTTTTAAATATGAAGCCGCATTTAGAGCTCTACACGAGCCCAGGACCTGTCTATCTTTTTTTTTTTGCTTTGAACCCCTTGATCGTTGGTGTAAATTTACGCTAGCCGATAACGCTACACTCGAGCCGGGGGGCTGGAAACGTGCGCGGGGGGTGAGCTTTGGTAGCGTGAGGTGAACTATGGAGATTAACGGGAGATGAGCAGCTTCGAGATGTTAACAGGCGCCAAGTCTCACGTTGCGACCGTGAGAGTTGGCAAGTAACAAGCTATGTCTGTCTGTCTGTCTGTCCGCCTATCTGTCTGTCTGTCTGTCTCGCTCTTGTGTGTGGCATGCCTCACTGTCAACGACCGATCGTTAACCATCCGCCTATCGGTAAGTAATCTGCATTTTGCCCCTAACCAGTGACTACAGCTTTCCGTAACTTTAACACGAAACTTAGACTGTTAGAAGTAACACCGGGAGTCTGCGGACCGATCGATGCCGAGCGCCTCTTGGATTCCGAGGAGTCCCGAAAGCCCGCGCCGTGCGCCGGCTTGAAAAGATCTTGCCGTTTTTCCCGGGGATCGCAAAGTTTTTCGGATAATCGTCACCTCGAAAGGCACTCACAGCTGAAGGATCTCGCGCTTGACTGACCGTCCTTTCGGCAGTTCGAGAAAATTCATTTCAAATTTGATGTAATTTAATTTTTTTTTTAAACTCTCCTGAAAAAAGTGCACCAAATTACTCCGCGCTGCGCACTCTTGTGTCGACGCTTGGAAATCTTGCCGTCGAGAATTGCTTTCGACTAGGTGAGACGGTAATCGTGTTGCGTTTAAACGACGGTGACGTTGTCGCGGCGAGAAGCGGGACACCTCGGGATCCAACGTCGAGCATGTCGTTGGTCTCGTCGGGAGATTGTTATTCAACGCGTCTGTCTGCATCCAGGCTCATTTCGATGGCGTACGGTCAAATCGGCATGATCCAAGCCGCGGCCGGTTTCTTCGTGTACTTCGTCATCATGGCCGAAAATGGATTCCTGCCTCTGTATCTGTTTGGCATTCGAAAGCAATGGGACTCCAAAGCTATCAACGATCTTACAGACAGCTACGGACAGGAATGGGTGAGTGCGATGTACATCATTGCTCAATGGAATGTTGAGAAGATTACACTGAGAAAAATGTTCTGTTTGATTCAACAAACCGTCTGTTCGATTTTGGACGAAACAGATTTTGGTTGAATCTATCAGAATTTCTAGATTCTACAATCTGTTTGGTTACAAGCTAACCAACTCAGATTCTGGTTGAATCTGTTAGAATCTTGTTGCATTAATAAGAATTTTGGTAAATTTAACCAGAATCTGGTAGATTCAACTAGAATCTGTCTGTTTCGTTCAAAATTGAACAGACAATTTGTTGAATCAAACAAAATATTTTTCTCAGTGTAGAAGCAACTCTGTGAACGCAAATTGACGTCTTGTTTTCAGCAAATCAGTTCCTTCACCGGAAATGTCATACTTTATAAATCAAAGTTCTATATTTTTCAATGTTTAACAAATTTATTTTTAACATAAGATTGTTTTGAGAGCTTTATAAGAGTCTTTTTGCTTATGATTTGTAAGATAAACTGACTTGCTGAGTTCGAGTCGCGCTTTAGAGAAATGTGTGTAAGCTGATCGTGCGGATTTGTTCTTTGCAAACAGACCTACAGGGACCGCAAGACGCTGGAGTTCACCTGCCACACAGCTTTCTTCGTGTCAATCGTAATCGTGCAGTGGGCTGATCTGATCGTCTGCAAAACACGTCGCAACTCGATCATCCACCAAGGAATGAGAAACTGGGCCCTGAACTTCGGCCTCGTGTTCGAGACCGCGCTTGCCGCGTTCCTAAGTTACACGCCCGGTATGGACAAGGGTCTTCGTATGTTCCCACTCAAGTACGTATCGTCCACGGTCACGTGTGATCCGCGTCCGATCGCGATTCGCTGAAGTAATCGAATTCGTAACATTAATCCAATCTTCCACACTTGAATATGAAATTTGCGATCAATGTTATCGGCGAATTTGAATTATAGCCCCAGTTTGTATCGCAGCAGCAATATGAAATTCGTGTATATTGCAGATTTGTATGGTGGTTACCAGCTCTGCCGTTCATGTTCGCCATCTTCATCTACGACGAGACGAGACGATTCTACCTCCGCCGGAACCCAGGCGGCTGGCTCGAGCAAGAAACTTACTATTAGACGCAAAAAGGATTAAATCACACGCATGCAGAGCGCGCGCGCAAGAGGACGAGTGAACGGACGAGAGAGCGAAAGCGAGAGAGAAAGAGAGAGAGTGTGAAAGCGAGAGAGCGAGAGAAAAGACGAGAGAGAATGATAATGAGAAAGAATGAGACGCATACTCACACCTGAGAGATATACATCTGATAAAAAAAAAAACAAGAAAAATAAGTAAATCACTCATGTTGAACAGATATAACACATTTCACACGGGACGTGCTACTGGGTCTGTCCGAGTCATGTGTGTCGGGAGAGCAACGGGGTGGACAACGAAAGGGCGCGCCAGATTCGCGTTGGCTCTCACGACCGCGAGAGAAGAGGCGCGAGATTATTATATATACTTATATATATATATTTATATATATATATGTATATGTATATATATATTATATATATATATATATATATTATTATATATATATATTATATTATATATATATATTATATATATATATATATATATATAGACACGGAAGAGACCCTCTAGCGCTATAGATACAGCGCGAGGTACAAAGAGCACGCTCGTCGTTCTGGCTTCGCTGCCAATTGCTTGCACGCGCGCACCGGATTTTCATAGTCTCAAATATATTGATCCGGTGTTTGGAGAGACCGTCGAGGGAAGGAGGGGAGAGATCGCCGAGGAGGTTCCGCCATCCACCAGGCCCGGGCGAAAAGGATGCCGATCGGGAAGTCGCGCTTTCCGTTTTGCGTCCAACAGCGCGCGCTAATGGAGCCTTCCGGCTGGATGATTGGATGTTGCTGCTGTCAAATTCCAGACGGGATATACTACGCGAGCGTCGCTCGAAGATGGAACGAAGGAACGGAAGTTATGCGAAGAAGGATTTGGGGGAGAGCCGCCGCGACGCGACTGATGCACGAGTATCAGGCCTAAAGGAACGTGGTAGCGCGATGAAAAATACGCGAAAATACGGCAAAGCCGACGAAGAATCGGGGATCCGGAACGGCAGCAGGAACGGACACGCACTCGACTGAGACGGGGGCGATTGAACGCGCGATAGAGAATCACGGAATCACGTGCGTCCTTATGTATGCCGAATGCGAATTGCTACACTTCACGCGACTTCTTACTATTAGTGGCGTATTATTGTAGACATCTTTGCGTTACCAAGCAACTTCGTAATAGGCTTTCGTTGATTGTCGATCGACGCGCGCGGCACTCGGCGCGCCGAGGTCGGCAACACGCAACACGCCCTCCATTGAGAAGAATTTTAGGTGGAAGACAAGAGGAGAGAGACTCGCAGAAAATCGAGGTGAACGGAGACCGACGCGAAAGAGCAAACCAAAAAAAAAAAGTGCTCAATGTAACAGAAGAACCGTTAAAAAAAAAAAAACTCTTAGGCATCTCGCGTGACACACTGAAATACTTCGTATGAAAATCTAATTAATTGTTAATTGTAACGAAGGACCTGTGGTACGACAGATATCGGCACGGTCTATAGTTATACGTCATGATAAAGTAACTGAATAAAGGCAAGAGTTATGATAAACAGCTAAATGAAATAAAGTAAAAAAAAAAAATAAAATATAATTAAATAAAGACGCATTCGCAGTATTCATTATTATTAATAAACGATATATATTCGGTTTCGAGTCTTAATCCGAGTAGCTGTCAGGAGAAAAAAAAACGGCGAAAACGTATCGCGGTAGTTTCAGTAGTTGCGACTCTTAGCGCGAAGGATAATATCACACTAACACACGCGAAACACACACGGGGGAAACAGAAACGGAGGACAGGTGCTGATCGGCTGGTTCCAGCGGAGAGCGGGGTGATTTATCCCATCGAGCACAGCGGGATGGTGAGGGGAGGAGGGGACAACGGTCGGCGGGGGATGCGGACAGTATATATGTAAAATAATTATCAACTGAAATCACTACCAATTGACGAGGATGTATGAATCAACGAGCGATATGTTATTTAATTGCACGGATGGATCAGTGGGAGAGATCGCGGCCTGATTGCCGGCGAATCGAAGCGAGAGGAAGAGAAAAAAAGAAAAAAAAGAAAAAAGAATCGAACACGTGTGCCGCATGCTGTTGTTTGAGCAGATAAATGAATTAAATGAATATTATGAAGCGTTACTGATTTTAAAACGACAGAAGAGAGACGAGGCAGGATGAGAACGAGAGCGACGAGCGCCGAGACACCGGACGCTTCGTGCCGGAGAAGGGATGCGCGGGTTACTGGGAGAGGGGAAGAAGAGCGGGTCGGAGCAGGGGAAGCGAGTTAAAAAAAAAAAAAAACGTTCTTACTTAGGTAAAAGCTAAATGAAGAATATAAAAGAAATTCATTCTCTTAGTTTTTCATAGATTTAAAACGCCAGCGGGACAGCTCACTATAAATCATTGATCCCCCCCCGCAATGCGGAACGCCCTGTTTAGGCAGCGGAATCGCGAATCTCTGTCAGCCAGCCGCGGCGAGCGCGCGCACCGTCTGTCTCTGTGTGCGTGCGTGTGTATACGTTAAGTATGCGTGCGTGTGAATGCGTCTGCGTTGCGCGTGTGTGTAGTGTCGAAGCAACAACGGTGACTTAAAATGCCTGCCACGCGACTTTATTTCCTTCGGGCCGGGACGATCCGAGGCTCTTTGTCATCGATGCGATCTCGCGACCGGACACACGAAATACATCCCTCCCTCCTCGTCTCTCCTCCCCCTGTGGGTCTCGCTCGATCGTTACCTGCGTTTGCGATCGCGCTGTTTATTATCTCGGCGAGAAGCCCCGCAATTTTACGACGATAATAGCGTGAATATACTTTTTAATGATACTTGAAATAATCGTAGTAATTATCGTGCTTGAAAGAGTATAAAAAATGGTAGTAATTTTCTCGCTGAAAAGGAATGAAACACGCTGGTTTTTTTCCAGAAAGTGGAATTGAGATGCCACTGCGTGAAAGTAAAGTTTCGAAACAGCTATTCGTGCAGCTATTTGCCTGTTGTTGGGAGAATTGTGAAGTGCGATCACTAAAGGATATTTGCAGCAATATGTTAGCGATTAGTCTATTTTTTTTACGAATCAATAAAGCCTCCACTCGTTCGGTGTTTATTGCGATAAGCAATGTCTACGCGCATTAAGCGCGCATTCGGCAAGACTCGATTCAATTATCGCTTTATGGAGAAAAATGAAGCGAATCGCGATTACACGTTACGGCGATGTCAAACTGTACTTGATATCCGCGAAGAGAGAGAGAGAGAGAGAGAGAGAGAGAGAGAGAGAGAGAAAGAAAGAGAAAGAGAGAGATACTCGTCGATCGAACAAGACTGCGGCGAATGCGAACGCGGGTCGACGGGTGAAAATGCGACGCTCGCTCGGCGGCCCAGGCCCCAAAACTACCCTAAGTGTTCAATAATCGAGGTGTTCTCGAGGTGCCCTGTATACGCGTAAACGCGAAACGTTCTCCCCTCGCCGGTTCCTTCCATCCGGTGCCGCGCCGCCGCCTCCGTCGAATCTCGAATCTCGCAACGAACGTTGACGGACGGTTACGTTTCCTCGCGATCTCTCGCGACTGATTTTCTCCGTTGGGCGCGCGCGGGAGCTCGCGCGAAACGCGTGAACCGGGCGAAGCGTCCCGTGCAAGTCGGACGTTCTTCTCGGCGACGGCCTGTTGCGTCGTCCGAACGCAGACGAAGCGGCATTCCTCTCGAATCGGGTCACGGGTGCGAGAAAGCGGCATTTGGGCAGAGTCACGGCAAATGTGACACGCGAGTTCGAATCTGAAACTGGAATTCAAAAAAAAAAAAGGTTTTCCAAGTATCCATCTGTGTCCATCGGCTAGTGGGCGCATCGCGCGAGGTCTATCAAATTCGGACGTTTATTCAATCACTGCGTTCTTAAGATCGATTGATCGTCGATTCCAATTAATAAACAAAAAAAAAAATTCTCTCCTCTGTCTGTATTATAGATAGAATTGTAATTTAGAATGAAGATAGCTGAATAGCCGAGCCGCAATTCGACTCGATTTTAGCACCGCGATGCGACATTCACGGCTCGTCGTAATAAAAGAGAAACAAAAAGTAGAAAAGCAAGCAAGATCGATCGCTCGTGTAACAACGAAAATTGCGGGAATTCAAGACGTTCTTTCGTGCGCGACTGTTATTCTCAATGGATCGCCGTGTTTCTGGATCGGATGGGAGTGAAAATGTAAACGGGATGACGAGAGAGAGAGAGAGAGAGAGAGAGAGAGAGAGAGAGAGAGAGAGAGAGAGGGTAGTAGTAGAGAGAGAGAGAGAGAGAGAGAGAGAGAGA